AATAGCTTTCTTTAACAGAGATAACAAGGTGTAGAGCTGGATGAACACAGCAGGCCGAGGAGCAGGAAAGCTGACGTTCTGGGTCTGGACCCTTCTTCAGAACTTCTTCTTTAACTTGTCTGCCACAGATTTTTCCTTCTGGGCTCTTTCTGCACCATAACAATTCTGTGACTCCATGGTCTTGTTCTTCCCTATCTTTGTAAACCTTGTGGCCCACAATCTTCCCAGATATCTCTAATGAATCAGTTCTGGTCTCATGATTATTAGGGTTGATAAAATTGTGAGGGGCAAGGATAGGGTGAATAGTCAAGGTCTTTTTTCCCAGGGTAGGGGAGTCCAAAACTAGAGGACGTAGGTTTAAGGTGAGAGGGGAAAGATTTAAAAGGGACCTAAGGAGCAATGTTTTCAAACAGGGGGTGGTGCATGTATGAAGTGAGCTGCCAGAGGAAGTGATGGAGACAGGTGCAATTACAACATTTAAAAAGCATCTAGTTGGGTATATGAATACAAAGGGTTTAGAGGGAAATGGGCTCAATGCTGACAAATGGGACCAGATTAAGTTAAGATATCTGGTTGACATAAATGAGTTGGATCGAAGGGTCTGTTTCCGTCTGTACATCTCTATGGCTCTAGAACTTGACTCACTCCAACATTGCTCAACATGTTTTCAATTACTCAGGCCCTAAGTTTTGGAATACCCTCTTTCCTTGCTTTCCTTCTTTAAAATGCCCCTTACAATATGACCAAGCTTTTTAGTTATCTAATCTACTATCTCCTTATGCGATTCAGTGTTATATTTTGTTGTATAAGCTCTTCTGACTTTCTCGAGACCAACTAGGGATGGGCAATAAATGCTGGCCCTGCCAGTGTTGATCACTTCCCATGAACAATTAAACAAAGCAGCTTCTTCGGGCATTTTATTACATTTATTTAGACCTTTTCAATGTAAATTGTTGATGTTCAATTCAGCAATACTTTATGGTTTGTGTGGAATGGTCAGTTCTGAAAAAGAGTTACAGCAGATTCAAAATATTAACTCTGTTTCTCTCTATAGACAGACTGCCAAACCAGCAGAGTTCCTTCAGCATTCCCTGTGTTGATATCTTATTGTAGCTTAGTTTTCATAGAACTGTAGAAAGGTTTTTTCTTACCCAGCTGTCGAGTAGAATGATGTACAATGAAAAATACAATCATTAATATAAAAAACCATGCATTTAAAAAGAATTGCAAAAGAACAAAAGGGATATAAACATTAATTATTCATTTTTCCGCTGTAAATTTTGAAGACTGTGGCTACTAGCCATTAAATTAAACCACTTTTAAGATTTCCAAACAAATTCATTGACACAAATATAATGAGTAAAATACTGTTCACCATGACAGAAGCATTCAGATGTGGAGATGGAAACAACCATACAATTTTTGATATCCCAGTGCCCAGCTCTGAATTTTATTGATAGCTATGTTCCCAACTCTATATTTTGGATGTACATCAACATTACTGAGAGTCAAACATCTTCCATTTTTCTACATTTCATTTGACAGGTATGATTATGAAGCTGCTGACTTATCAGTTTGGTTGGCAAAAGACTTCTGATGAAAAAAAGAAGGATTTTAAAAAAGATTGAAAAAGATTGTGTTGTCAACATCTTCAGTGGTACTGTTGATTTATTGTTGATAAAGCAGCTACATTCATATTAATACATAAATAATACTAGATTCAAAATCCACACCCTGCATCATTGGACACAATGACTGCAATTTATGCTATCTAAAGATTGCATTGTATCAATTCACCAGGAGGAAGGTGATAGTGTTGCGGTATTATCGCAGACCTAGGAATCCAAAGACTCAAGTAATGTCCCAGGGATCGAGGCTGAAATCCCACCATGGAAGTGATAGTAAAAAAGAATGGATTAAAAAAAAAAAAAAAATGATAACCATAGAACCATTGGGTGCCAGAGAGTACAGAAAGAGGTGGAGAGTAAAAATAAATGCCTGGCTGAAGATTTGGAACAGGACGGAGATGTTGAGATTCCTGGATCACTTAGTTTATTTCTGGGGGTGGTGGGACCTGCACAAAGTCAGACGGGTTGTACCCAGAACCAGAAAGGGACCGACACACTTACGGGGAGGTTAACTGGTGCAGTTGGTGTGGGTTTAAACTGATTTGACAGGGGGATGAGATGCAGAATAGAGCACAGCAGGGGTTGAGGCCCTGGCAATTAAAGAAGATTTACCAAGTTAGTCTAGAAGGCAGTGCAGATTGAATCAAGTTAAGACATAAGGGAGCATCACAATTTGGATGGTACTTATTTTAATGCAGTGGGCCTTGTGAGGAAGGCAGATGTGTTGAGGATGTGATTTCATTCCTATCATGGAGACATGGTTGAGGGAGAGGCAGGACTGGCATGTCAATATTCCGGGGTGTAGAATTCTTAGGATAAAGATTTGGGAGGACAGGGTGTAAAAGAGGAAGTGGTGTTCTAATATTGATCAAGGAGTCAATTACTGCAGTAAAGAGGGATGATATCTTGAGAACCCTGAGTGTCAAAGGATATACGGGAAACATGACAATACATTGGTAGATAACATTGAGAAAAATCCAAATATATTTTATAAATATATGAAGGGCAACAGAAGAACTATAGAAAGAGTACAGCCTATTAGGGGGCCAAAGTGGACGTGTAAGTGGGTGTGTGTGTGTCTGGGGGGGGATGTCAGGGGGATGTGTGGGGCAGTGTGTGTGGGGGTTGTGTGTTGGGAAGGTATGTGGGGAGTGTGCAGGGGGTGTGCGCGTGCATGGGGGTGACGGAGTGTGCATGGTGGTGTGGACGTGTATGTGTGGTGTGTGTGGGTGGGGTGGGTATGTGGGGTGATGTGTGCGGTGTGTGTTTTGAGGGAATGGGTAGGTGTTGAGCTGGAGAATATACAGCTGATGTTTTAAATGAATACACTGCATCAGTATTCACTGTAGAGAAGGAAAACATATGTCCAGAAACCAGAGGGAGGGACACTATACACTTGAAAAACTTAACATTGACAGGAAGGAAATATTAGCACATTTAGCAGGCTTGAAAGTTCATAAATCCCCCAGGCTGGGAACAGATGTACCAAACGGTGCTGCAGAATGCAGGGTCTCCAACAATAATTTTCAAATCCTCTCTGGCCACGGGAGTGGTGCTAGAGGACTGGAGCATAGCTAATATGGTACCATTATTCAAGGGGGGAGTTAGGAATAATCCAGGAAAATACAGGTCAGTGACTCTAAACATCTGACATAGGGAAACTATGTGAAAAATATTCTGAGGGACAGATTTAATCTGCTCTTGAAGAAGTGTGGATTAAACAAGGATAGTCATCATGGCTTTCTAAGGGAAGGAGCATGTCCAACGAATTTAAATTAATTTTTGAAGGAGGTGACGTGGTGTTGTCTACCTGGGCTTCAGTGAGGCTTTTGACAAGGTCTCGCATGGCAGAATTGTTAAGAAGCTAAGAGCCCATGGGATCGAGGACAATTTGAATCCAATATTAGTTTTGTGCAGGCAGCAGAGAAAGATGGTCAAAGGATGTTTTTGTGACTGGAAGCTGATATCCAGTGACATAACACAGAGTTCAGTGCTGTTTGTTGTCTACATTAATGATCTACATGAGTGTAGCTCATATGACCAGTAAGTTTGCAGATGACACAAAAATTGGTGGTGTGGTAAATAGCAAGGAGAAAAGCCTTAGATGACAGGAAGATATAGATGAGCTGGTCAAGTGGGTAGAACGGTGGCAAATGGAACTTAATCCTGAAAAATGTGAGGTGATGCATTTTGGGACAACTAACAAGGCAAAGGAGGACATATTGAACATTATGGTCTGATAAAGCACAGAGGATCAGAGGGACTTCAGTGTACATACCAATAGATCCTTGAAGGCTGCAGGACAAGTATATAAGTTGGTTAAAAAGGCAAATTGGTTATTGGCCTTTATTGGTAAAGGCACTGAACACAAACGAAAGGAAGTTATGATGGAGCTGTATATAAGATTAGTTAGGCCACATCCAGAGTATCATGAATAGTTCTGGTTGCCACACAACAGAAAGGATGTGATGGCACTAAAAAGTGAGTAGAAGAGATTCACCAGAACATTGCCTGGCCTGGATCAATTCAGCTATGAATGAAGACTATGCAAGTTGTGTTTATTTTCCTTTGAGCAGAGAAAGCTGAGAGGTATCTGACGGGCATAAACGTGGTAGGTAGGAAAAGACCTTTCCTGTTGATAGAGGAGTCAGTGTCCAAGGGGCACAGATTTAAGGTAAGGTGCAGGACATTCAGATGGGCATTTGAGAAAAAAAAGCTTTTTCAACCACAGGGTTGTGGATATCTGGAACTCAATGCCTAAAAGGGTAGCAGAGGCGGGAATACAAAAGATATTTAAGAAGCATTTAGATGAGCACTTAAAAGGCCATAGCATTTGTGGTTGCAGCCAAGTTCTGGACAGTGGAATTAGAATAGATGGATTTTTGATGACTAGTATGGACACGATAGACTGAAGGGCCTCTTTCTGTGCTGCAAAACTCTATGGTTTTATGACACTTTCAAGTGCACAATCTGTTCCACCAAGAGCATGGAGACACTACCTCCAATCTCTGTTAAAGCCACACAACATCCTGATGCAGTAATCTACTGGCACTTGTCATCACTGTTATCAAATTCCGAGAACTTTCGACTTAATTATCACATCATCACAGCCATATGGACTTCAACTCATGGAGAAGGGCTGTCACCACCTTCTCACGGCAGCTTATGATGAGTAATAAATAGAGTTTTGTTCGTGTCTCCGATGTTACAGTTAGACAGGAGTATGGTTAACAGGCACACGTTAAAAACACCGTCCCTGATACAAATTATGCTGTCAGCAAATTGGGTTGATATCCATCAGCACTCCTATTCCAGACATTTTTGTGGAATAGCCTGATTTCAGTAAAGACAAGTAAGAACAGACATTCATACCGAGGTACTTTTTGATGGCTTTTGCAGCTTGAAACTGTTTTATGATCAAGTAAGCAGATTCAGGCTCAGGCAGTGTGCTCCACTGGAGAACCTGTTCCAGAACACTCTCTCTGTAGTGCAGTACTCGCTCTGTGGAAGAGGAAATGTAACACAAAGCATAAAATAATGCACTTTACAGTGATCACTAATA